TAATACATTTTCTAAATTTTTTAGGGTCCCTGCAGGCTGGATAGAACGGCCTGATGGGCTGGATTTGGCCCACAGGCCAGATTTTTCCCACCCCTGTTCTAATGCATATCTACTTCACCTACAGACCAATTCCTAAAAGCAAACCTCTAAATATCATTTTCTAGCCATCAGTAGTAGTCAGAGTCTCCCATATTTCAGGCCATATAAAATAAATAGTAAGACCTGTCCCATGCCCTGATGAGTTTATAGTCTAAATAGATAAAACAGATGGATGCAGGGAGAGAAAATAGAACTGTAATGCCAAGGTGTCACATTAGACCAGTGGCAGGGCTAAACTGGAAATGGAACACAAGCCTACTGACTCCTAGTCCAGGGCATTATCAGCTAGCCCAGATACAACCCTTGTTTTATTTCTTCAGTAGAGAGAGAGGATTCTGGTTCTTTAGGCTGCATATACATATGCTGGTTCATGTTCTAATTAGAACGCTCCAGCATGGCCTCACCATCACATGTATAAACCCCCACTGGTTTAAAAATGACTGCTGGGGTGCTTTACATCAAGTGAAATTTAGATAAAGTGTCCTGTGGCCATTTTTAAACCTGTGGGGGCGTAATATGCGTGATGGTGAGGCATTTTAATTAGAGCAGCTCTCCAGGAACCACTCTAATTAAAACAGCCCCCTCCCCACCTCTCAAGCACATGTATAGGCAGCCTTAGTTCCTTAGGGTAATATGCTACTCTACTTACTCGTGCTCAGTAGTACCTCAAATGTATTCCCATGGACCTCAGTGAGACTGTTTTTGGAGTAAAGTACTGCTTGCCCTCAAATATAAGTTGCACAAATTGGTTCTTATATCAGAGAGAATTGACTAGTTGGAGTAATCCACTTGACATCAATGAGGACTATTCAAAGTGGTAAGAATTACATGGGCTACCAAGGTTTTGCATAATTAGGTCCCAAATGCAAATAGATACATTACAATAAGATTTTCAAGAGTTATTTAACTTATCCTTATGCATTATGGACTGTCTGCAAGCAAAAATTTCCAATAGTTTGTTACAAGTAAATGCTAACAATTTATCAGTTACTCTGACTGCAGTTTCATGTGATATTGTTTCTGTTCTGTGACTCTAGGATGAAACCACTCCAATAAGCACCCATCGGCTGGCACTAACTATGCTGATCAAAATAGTGAAATCCTTGGGCTGTGCTTATGGCTGTGGAGAAGGACACCGAGGGCTCTCTGGAGATCGCCTGAGACACCAGGTATTCCGGGAGAATGTAAGAGAACTAAAGTAGATTCCAACTCTCCCAGTCCCCCAGATTTGAAATGAGTCTCCTGATGTTGAGAGGTTCCACTCTCCCCTCCACATGGTTTCCTTTCTAATGACAAAAGAACACTGCCCCCCAAAACTTGGAGCACTGACTTTGAGGTGCAGCCCAATCAAGGGAGGCAAAGGCAGCTTTAAGCCACCTTTGTACCTTCCAGTTTCCTACCCTTCCCTTGGGTCCAGCACAATTTAGAGCAGCCCCAAGGGCTTACCTGCAATAGGCATTTTTTTATGAGCAAAAGTGTAACATGGATACGCAACACAAACATGAATGTCACTTTTTACACTGATGCATCATGACAACATGAAGGGGTTAGAACAATGCAGCTATATTGGATTGGCTACATTGGCACAAAAACCCTAAATATAGACAAGGCATGTAATTCTATAGGGTGACCTTGCATTGATACTTCTGGGCTGCTCCACGAGGTCCCAGTAGCCAGTGTGCACTGTGCTCCAGAGTAGCAGAAGACTCCTCTTCCATTGGTCTGGCTCCCAGTGAGGCAAAGATATACCTAGGCTGTGGCTCTTGGTTACCATTCAAGAATGACAAGTGGAAAATACAGCTCATTGCTGTGTGGGGGTTTTTATGGGTGTTTTTGATCTAATCTATCCCTAAGAGCCTGGCTATTGCTCTGACCACATCCCAGAGAATTAAAATGGATCCCTGGGGGATTTCAGTGGGAACACAGCCCCAGTGCTCTGCCAGACAGGATCTCTGTAATAGGAGTCTTCCAGCCCTGCAAACATTTAACTAGTAGTGAGCTGATAATACATTTACTACCAGGTTTTGCTGCAGTGAGCATTCCCTTTGACTAGAATTATGGATGCATACTGTGCCCATAAAAATGGAGGTGAGAGTGGGTCCTGGAAGTAAATGAAGCCAACACAGGGGGCTCTTCCCTCCTCCTAACTGGTCTTTTTTTTTTAAGAATGACAGAAAAAGTGCATGTTGTGTGTTGTGTTTTGATACCGAGCCTTGAATTCAAAGCATTCTGTAACATATGCTATATCTGAGAGTGATACAGAGTTATGATAAGGATCAGTTAACTTCTACAAGTGTGTGGTTGTATTGTAAAATGTAAATGCATTCTTCTTTGCTTTAGTTTGCCTGGCAGCTTGTTCGTGGGCTTTTAGCTGTAATGAATTTTTCTTGCCATTTGTTGAACATTTTTACCAGTTCTAAGAGATTGTGACTCAGACTATAAAATCTCAGAATAAGGATTAGAATTTTAAAAGATAAGGCTCCCCCAGGAATTGTTTACTGATTTTATCTTGGATTTTGTCAATTTTCTGCATTTGAGTATTTCTATGGCTTTCATCATTACCATATTAGATGGAACGTCACAGTCCTCATAGCTGGGAGGTAAGGAATTATCCTGGTTTTACAAATGTGCAAAGAGATTAAATGACTTTGCATTGCAAAGGAAGTCTGTGACTGAATTGGAGACAGAGCTCAGGTCTCCCGGGTCCTGCAAGGTGCCCAGTATATTCTTTTCCAGGATCATCCTTCCTCTACTGCAACGAAACAACACAGAGCACATGTCAGTATTGTAAGCAACAGCTGCCTAAGTTTCCTCTGAACTCCTTTGGAAGCTGCTCTGTATAAACACATTTCTCTGCTCTGGTTTTCAGTAGCTAGAAAGTAACTTTACTTTTTTGCTGGACTGTAAAGAACACAAGAGACCAAAAAAGAAGGGAAAGACCAGCATGGCATAGGGATGTCTCCTGGTCCAAGTTCTACTGAAAACAGGGAGGAAGAACAGGCTTGGTGCCCCTAAATCAGACCTAAGCCACTTGCAGTAGAATTTTCATCTCTGGACTGGGAACTAAAGCTTTATATTCAAATTGCTCGGACAGAGGAGTGCAAAGTGTTTACTCTGAATTAGGGGATCCTTGTTAGTTGTTATCAGGGAGACCAAAATTAGAATTAATTTTGTTTTACACTGAAAATACAAAATAGTTCTCAGACAATTCCAAATGTCTGTACACTGGTTTTTTCCTTTCTAAATTCTGATTGACAAGTTCTGGCATCTATACACACGCAGTGAGGCTGGTCTGATGCACTGTAATTACAGCACATTGGAGCAGACTTGATTAAATGATTAATCGTGTCTGCTGGAGCTTGGTAATTACCGTGCTTCAGCAGACTATAGCATCATGTGTATCAGCATCCCCGAGCTGAAAAATGGCAGCGGGGGTACTTTAACTAAAGCTCATCTTTAGTTAAAGTACCTCCGCTGCTGTTTTTCAGTGTGGGGACCCTGATACACCTGATGCTCTGGGCACTCTATGTTCTGAGTCCCCTCCCCTCACTCCCAGAGCATGTGTATAAATGCCCTCTGTGATTAGCACAATTATTTTCTGGCTACATAAAATACCAGTGTAAGGGTAGAAACTTAAATTCATAGAATAATAAGGCTGGAGGGGATCTCACAAAGTCATCTAGTCCACCCAATCCTCCCACTCAAGATAGGATAATTCCTGACTAAAGTGTCTTTAAAAGTGCTGAAGGACAGAAATTCCAGGGTCAGGCTACTCTGTGTTTAGCCTGTTCGAATAGTTTCTTATTCTTAGGGCATGTCTACACGAGATACATTAACGCGCATTGGCCTAATTTAATATACATTATGGGCGTGTGTCTACACACGCGCACCCTTAGTGTACATTAAAAATGGCAAAATTAGCAGGTATCAAATTTAGGCATGATTAGTTAAAGCATGTGTAGATGCAACTGGACACTAACTTTAGTGCCGGGTCTGCCCAGCCACTAGGAGCATATGGCAGGGCTGCAGGGACTTGGCACTAACTTTAGTGCCAAGTTGTCTTCACATGTAGACAATCTGTTAAAAATTGCTTCATGCTTATCAGCTTAATGCACATTAAATTTAGTTATGTTTAAATGCATGTGTAGATATGCTCTTATAGTGAGAAATCTGTCCTAATATTGATCCCAGATTTCTCTTTCTGGAATGTATAAACCTTGCTCCTTGTCCTGATACTTGTGGCCACAGGAAATAGTCTGTCACCATCCTCCATGTAATCATCCTTCAGGTATTTTGAAGACTGTTATCAAATCCCACCTTCACCCCTTTTGTCTTCTGTTCTCCAGACTAAATAATCCAAGTTCTTTCAACCTTTCCTCATAAATTATGTTTCCCAGGTCTTTAATAATTTCTGTCATTCTCCACTGGACTCTTTCTAATTTGTCCATATTTTTTGAAATGTGGAGCCCAAAAGTGAACACAGTTGGGGGTAGGTTCAGAGGGAGATGCAGTGATACAATTTCAGTGCCCCCCTCCACCTTTGATTCCTGCTCCACCCAAACTTTAAAACCAACACTCTGGGAGGTTCTATTCTGGCAGTACTGAGAGAGTCAATTGACTTCATAGCTCATTGTCATCTCCCTGATTCCTCTTAAGCTCTCTCTAGTCCACAGGTGTTAATGACTGTCTATTCTTTGTTATGGTCTTGAGGTTCTGCTATTCAAACTATTCTTTCTTTTTCAGTTTTGCTGTCTGTTAACCATTCCAGTAATGTCTCTCTTCTATTTCACAGTCCTGTGCACTGTTTTTAATACTAGTTAAAAACATTTAACTGAAATCTGGTAATATTAAGTCAGGTGTAGAAATGAATGATGGTGTGGTATTGGAGGCACTGTCAAGATGCTCAAGAAGGCTAGATTTTGTTGTACGAATCTCAGTGCATATAATTATGACTATAGGAGTAATGAAACAATATCTTCTGACAATTTTGACTATTTTTTGCCTAGTTTGTTGTGTTCTTTTTAAACTTTATATATAATTAACAAATGTGTGCATGTTCCAATAGTTACATTTGTATAGTGCTACTCCGTTAGCATATTAGTAAAGGATCTAGTTTCCATTTCACTGGAGAAAAATATGTTTTGTGTTATATGTGATGTGTCATACCACCTGCACCCCTCTTTTCAAAATCCTAGATATGCCCATGGACATAGTACTCCAGATGAGGCCTCGCCAGTGCTGAATAGAGTTGGAGAATCAATTCCCTTGATTTGCAAGTGATGTTCATATTAATACAGTCCTGTGTACTGTTGAAGAGAATAGAATAGAATTCAGTTTTATATAGTATCTTTTGAAACGAGCATCCTCAAATGCTTCCTAAAGCAATGTGTGAAATGTGGGTAGTCGCCATATCAGCACTATGCAGTCAGGAATACTTTATCGTATAATTATAGACTTTAGGGATCCCACCAATGTCAAGTAAAGTCCTTTCCCTTTCTTCAGAGAATGCTGGATCAGGTTTTAGGGACAGATTCTCATGTTTCATGGAGAGGGCCCAAATCTGTTTGCAGTTGTGAAACTAGGTGGAGTTGGGCTACTATTCTAATCCTTTATACCAGGGGTTGGCAACCTTTTGCTGCCATGGGCTGGAGCTTGTGACTTGGTCCCCTGCCATGGGGTACAAATCTTCAGCCTCTGGATCAGCCAATCTGCCTCTGCTTATTCTCTCCTCAGAAACCTTTAAGGTTAAGCTGAGGTATGAGAGAGGACCAGGGAGGGCTGCAGAGGGGATGGAAGGCTCAGCATAGCTGTATTTTTTCCAATCCCCTGCACTGCCTCAAGCTGGGTTGGACCTTCACAGGCTGGATCCAACCTCTTTGTGGGCTGGGTCCAGTCTCAAGGGTCATGGGTTGCTGAATCCTACTTTATACAGCTGTCACAGGATAGCAGGGCATCCTTTGATAATGCTGGGAAATTTTCACGAAGAGCATGGGTTGAAAATGGCCCACATGGAATAAGTAAACTTTTACTTACCAAATTACATTTTGCATTATTTTGGTCCCAATCCAGTGAAACACCTAGGTGCAAGGCTTAATGTTGAGTATGTGAGTAGTCTTTCTGAAACTGATGGGCTAGTCACATGCTTAAACACAAGCTTGCATCTAGGCACCTTGCTGGCCTTGGGCAACTAGAGAGATCTAACACACTGCTGGTTCTGCTGTTTGTTTATTTGAACAGGTTGTTTTGCATATGCTGCTTGTGATAACTGCATGTACAACTGTATGTCTAAATTATTTTAATATCTGTCCCTTAGTGCACTCTCCTTGAGCTTCAGAAACCATACCAACATGGAGAGCACCAGGAAAGAGTCCATACTTCTCTTGGAGCTGATATTTCAGACTTTTTAAAAACTCACTGCATTTGGGTCATGTTTGTATGGTTACATTTGCAACGCAGAGTCAGTTCTTTTTTTTTTTTTTAAATAAAGGCCTGCATTTTCAGAATATGAATTGGGCACTAGGAACAGACATATCTGATGGGTTAGATCTGGGCCACAGACTGAAAATCTGATGTCTTTGGGTCAGAGCCTGTTTTATCAAAAAATAATTTTTGGTCAAGGACAACAGATGTCAACTGTCATGTGCAGTGAGACTTTGTCTTTTACATGGAGGGTCTCAAACATGACCTTGACCTGCCATCTCACCCAAAAGCAATGCAGTGGCACCTTCTACTGAAGTGCCTGGTCAGCTTTTAATCTGAGCCCATGTCCTGTTGTGAGATTTGAATATTTGACTTACAAGTGAAGTTACTTTACTGTAGCACAGGGAATGCAAGAGCAGAGAAGCACCCAAATGACCCTGCCATTGTTGACAAAATTCAAGTGGATATTTCTGATTTTTTTTTAATGTCTTCACAGGCTCAGAATTGCCTCACAAAGCTGTACAAGCTGGATAAGATGCAGTTCCGTCAGACCATGAGGGACTATGTGAACAGAGATTCCCTCAATAACGTGGTGGATTTTCTTCATGCTTTGCTAGGATTCTGCATGGAGCCAGTCACTGACAGTAAGGAGATCTGGCATCTCAATCAAGCCCAGTCACTTTTCTAAGACAACACTTGCAGACAGGATCTACATTACAATTTTCAAAAAGTCAGAGTGAATGTCTAAAGCCAAAAAGTAAAATGAAATGATAAAATCCAATTCTCACCTGGTGTGGGTCATTGGAACTCTACTGAATTCAGTGGAACTACACCAAACTACATACACCCTATATACCCAGTTGTGGGTCTTAATAACCTGGTCTAGTTCCAGTACAATGACATTTAAAGAAACACGTGTGCCCTATTTTTGATGCATCCTACCTGTTTGTTTATAGGTTGGCAAAGGGAAACTTTCTCTTTAACAAGCCTCAGGCAAGAAGTTGTTTTCTGCTTAATGACATGACCAGATGCCAGCTGGAGTGGACTGTGCATTCCAGCATTTGTTCTGAATCAAGATATAATTGAGCATGAAATACTCTGAGTATAGCCTAAAGGAAGGCAGTAAATAGGTAGAACAGACCTTGTAAACAAGAATATGAGCCTTCTGGTTTATGTGCCTACAGTGTGAGTTGGATTTATTTTTGAAGATAGACAATTAATTCAATGGCAATTGATGATTGCATGCATACATTTCCCCCCTGCATGTACAAGCAGATAATTATAGGCATTTAGAATGCAAACCTGCCATACATCCAGGTAGTCAGTCCAGTCCTATGTGCTGCCTGTAGTCCAAGGCGCTTTGAAAAAAGGTTCAAGAAACACCACAGTGGACAGCTGTGAAATGAGAAGCATGCATGATGTATCTTTCAAACACCCAGCAGTTACAAATTGGTCTGTACCTTGGAGCACGAGGGCATATGTCCCTTTTGAATGTTTTCACTCTGTCTAATGAAAACTGTGGATGTTCTCATTTAAAAGAACCTTTTTTTTTAATGTTTTTGTGATCTTTGCCTCCATACTGTCTTGTGTGAATAAAGTTCCACTGGTTTAAAAAAATCCTTTTATCAGTGCTAAATGTCTTGCTTTTCAGTTTAACTAAATATCCCATTGTTCATGTGAGAAGGCATATAGGAATGCCTGATTTACCATTTTCTCCTCTCATTATTTGATATACCAGTAAAATAGAGGAGGAAAAGGGAGAGGAAGTACCCTCCTGACCTGTTCAATTTATTTTCACATAGAAGATTTTTTTCAATTCCTCTTAATATTCTTGTTACCTATCTCTGACTTCCATTTTTATCACATTCATTGTGAATTGAACAGAGTGTTTTGGGTGAGGTGTTACCATGGATTTACATCTCTTAGTGCATTTAAATGCATCATTATATTTTGATGCATAATGTTTAACCTATCTCAACAATGGGGTTTATTCATGCTTGCATTTTGCAGACAAGGCTGGATTTGGCAATAACTTCACCACAGTGGACAACAAATCTACTGCACAAAGTGTGGAAGGAATTATAGTCAGTGCCATGTTCAAGTCCCTGATCACTCGCTGTGCCTCTACTACACATGAACTTCATAGCCCTGAAAATCTGGTGAGAACGTGGGTTCATGTTCTAAAAGCTTGTTATTTTAATTTTGTTTCAAGTGGCAGCTAAGCTTTAAAATTAAGCCCAAATTCAGTTCAACAAAACCTCATTGGTATGACAAGCAAATACATTTGGGGTTTGATCGCCTTTGTCTCCAGATAGTGCTTTTGTTGGTTTCTTTGTGAACTTGACATTAGTGGAAAGAAGAACTAGTAGCACTAAGCTGGAGCTAAGAGTAATGGGCTAGGTTCCCACATGAGCTAAACCAGAACAGGTCCATTGACTCAGGTGAGATAAAGCCAGTTGGAATCAGCTGAGGCTGTAGCCCGTAGCTGGCTGGTCCCTTGTAAGTTTTCTAACAACAACCCTGCTAGGAATGCCCAATCTTGACATACCATACCTCTCTACATTTCTCTCTTGAATTCTTCATAGCAAAGCCTGCCTGTCATACTGAACTGGCTGATAGTTTTAGGGCATGGGCAGTCATCCGTTAGATCAAACTAGACTAGAACCAAGAGGCATGCTTTTCCTACACAAGATTTATGCTTTTCTGAGGTTGACAGGGTTGGTGCATTTGGACTCCAAGTCTGTAAAGTGTATGAACACAGCCTCTGCTTGTAAAGAAATAATGGACTGAAGTGACAGGGCTGTGTTTGGGGTTTGCCCATTGTGGGGGGTACTCACATGCTTAAAATTAAGTGTGTGCCTAAGTACCTTGTCGAGTAAGGCATAAGACAGTACACTGGGTAGTCTCTAAAAGTACGTTTGTTTGGGGGGGGGGGGGGGGT